ATAATCGCCGTGGAGTAGGATCGGGCAAATTGGCTAATTAAAAATTTTCTCCGAAGCCGTGATTATCGCCAGTTACACGGAAAATTAATACAGTATAACACATTTGGATATCAAAGGAATACAGTGTAACAGAGAGGCTAGTTGTAATAACGTCGCGTGTTTGAAATGGAATTGTGCGCATGAGCGGTTGCTCCTTTTACAAAGTTTGATTCGAAACAGGACCCGAATGGTCCTCGAGATGAAAATGTACTAAAACTCGTTAATCGGAGTCTGTTCGTCAAATAATAAACGCATACCAATGAGACATTGTGCGAATTAAAATCCACGCGAAATTAACGTAGAACGAGAGAAGAAAAATATGAATTAATTCGTTATTTATTAACGAGTAACGACCAGCTACTGGGTGTAACATCTTTTTCGCAAAGGCATCGTTTACACCACCTTCATCGTGGCATCTCCTGACGTAGAGACGGATGATGTCTTGAGGCAGGTCTCATGTTTAATAATGCAAGAACTTCAGCAGACGCAACAAATTCGTTTAATATCCTATATGAAGATAGCTTCAACTGTAACCGACGACGTTTCACGGGAATAAGTTTAAGTTTCAGTTGTAATTACGCGCTATCATGGTCTGACAGCAACATTGGGGAACCAGAGCGATGGCTATATCGAGAAAAAGACAAAGGGTTATTTTAATCATGTATTTTGATCAAACTTTGGCACAAGGTAGCTTTGAACATTATAACCTTAGCATTTTAAAACAGTCATAAAGCGAGTATGTTTGAATACCGTAAAGAAAACTTTGGACTTGCTAGATAATAGGACGCCTTTGTGGTATTAAGTTTTCAGAGCAAATAATGTTTGCAAGTTATTACTATACCGCAATATTCTGTTTCAGTTGAATTCTTACGGATGCTTCGCTAGAGGATGACAGTAGAGGATGACATTTCGTTTTCTACTAAAAAAGGAATAATTGATAATAAAATATTTTTCATAAATCGTTTAATTATTTTCATTCGCAATTACGAGTTATAGTCAGGAGTCAATTTACAAATCTGCAAATTTCTCGAGTATTTATTTGCCAATAATGATCTACTTCTTCTATATTATTTAGAATATTCTATATTAAATATATGTTAATGTTAATGTTAATGTTGATGATGTTAATGGTAATGCTAATGTTAATGTTGGTGATGTTAACGTTGATGTTAATGTTGCTGATGTTAATGTTAATGTTAATGGCAATGTTAATGTTAATACTGATGATGTTGATGTTGGTGGTGATGTCGATGATGTCGGTGATGTGGATGCGAGTGTGGATGTGGATGTGAACGTCGATGTGATGTTATAGTACATTAATTAGATTTTATTAGGTTATAGTAAATAGAATTTTAATATAAGTGCATACATTGTATGTTGAATGCCCTGTTGCATAAGTCACAGAAGAAAATATACAAACAAAAATATAAAAGAGATGAATGGTTATTAAAATTACAGAAAAAAATGGCAAGCATTGCAGACTGGATTTATTAAAACGATATATGTCAGTTTCCCTGAAAAACAAAATTGCTGCTGTTGAGAAAATGCTTGTTACTTCGTAACAATTCATATTCGCGTAATGATATGATATTAATAAAATTCTATATTTCAGTGCACATAAGGTACATTTAAATATTAAATTCCAATCTAGTCCTTAATAGAATAAACGGATTCGTGAAACAGCTTACACGATCGTTACTCTCGTCCGTTGTGAGTTAATTATTTAAATGGTATAACCTGCCAAGCTGATAACCGAATAATTTCATTAAGCTACTCTGTTCGGTTGAAATTTTGAGAAAAGAACATATCATCGTTTCATGTAACTGCAGTAATGAATAGCGTCATTGGTAAATAAAGTACGAAACTGTGGAAGCGAACTTCCTCTATAGGGTGGAGGCATGCTGAAAGTAATTAATTAACCTTTTTTTGTTCCACGGTCAATCTCGTGCGAAGTCGACTTGTTTGTTCAGTGGAAGTACGGCCAGATCACGATTAATCTCATTACATATGGGTCACTAAACTTTTTGTCAAGTAATTGGATCACTATCAAGCGTTACATTATTTGCTATGAGCTCGATATTTAGGCAACTCGTGGAGAAGAGTTTACTCGCGAAAAATAAATGCCACGAGTCATCTTTCATTCCCGACTTATCTCTCCATTTCCAAGTCACGAGGAATTCAGTCTTCCATAACTGATACTAACGATAACAAAATTACTACGTATTTAACATTAATTTCCAAACTTATTGTCAGTATCGTTATACCGATATGATATTGAAACCGAATATTTTATAATTCCAACTCTGAAAAGAAATTTACATTACCGATGTTCGCTTTTATTATTTTAATTTCGAGGAAAAATTTTGGAAAGTTGAATTTAAAATCGTAATTAGATTAGAGCACGCAAAAAACTGGGATTCCTGGCTGAAAAAAATGTGAAATTCTTTCGACGAATTGGACCGTCTGAAAAATCATAAAATGGCATAAAGGATTTATGTTATTACCTGTTAAAATTATTTTCATTCGCGCAGGAAAATCGATAAATTCCAATTTTCGTTAGAAAAAAGACAAACCGTAATTGAAAGAATAGATTATCAATCCTGCTTTTTCCGGGAATCGAATTAAAATTCCACTTGATAAATTGCTTTTCATGTGAGCTATAGGTAAAGGGGAGAAAATAAAATAAGAAGGAGAGAGGAAAGCAAGAGAAAGAAAAATGAAAAGCGTCACATTTAGATGAAACTTCAGCGTATACAATCTTTTGGTTGAAAGCAGGAAATTAAGCAGGAATTACTCGTACAGTTTGATGAATGAGCGAACTTTATTTGAAAATTTCCTTAAATTAACGGATCCGTGGAATGCGTTTAAAGAGGTCAGCCTGCCAGCAAGTCATTCTACATTCATCAGGAATAAAACTTCAAACGTAGATTGGTTTCCTGTGCGACTCTGTTTCCCGTATTTTGAAGACACACGGAAAGGTGTGACTTAAAACAAATATTTGGTCGATCTTGGTGGCAATGTTGCTTCCAATAGCACGAATTCTGTTCTCCTAACTTCTTAGCTATCAAGGCACACGTATTTCCAGTGAGAGTAACTTTCGTCAGAATTATTTCGACGTTTCAATCATTTAGACGCGATGATTACTAGCATTTAAATGCAGTACATCATCCATATCGTCAAAAATCAGTTTATCTAATTCTGTTTCGTTTTATAGACTTGAACACTGGTAAAAGATACGTTAAACGAGGAACGTTCACATAATAACAATTATCCACGTATTAAAAGGGAAACAATAAACACTCAACACGAAAAGTTTAAAAACCCACAAAAGGGCTAACATGAAATAAGTTAAAATTAAAAAAAAAAAAAAAAGAAAAGAAAAATTTAATTTTCTACTTCAATTTGTTTACATATCTACATATCTACATGTCTGTATAAAGATACATTCATATGTGCTTTAATAAATTATTTTATTTAATATTTATTTTAATCAATTATTCAAGGAAAATATCAACTTCGCAAATTTTTCATTCGATTTCTAAATTTGTTTAGAAAATCAAATGCCTTTTCTACGGTAATTTGAAAAAATCAGATTTTTACGCTGTTCCTTTCTTATTAGTTTATTTTCGAAAGCTGGGAAAATCCCATGCAGAATTATGGCCGAGAGAAATATAGCAAACGTATCTTCCCATGAATATCAAGAATTCCGGGATAAAATTGAATTTAAGACAGAGATTTCTTTTTCTGCAACAAATACATGATCCAAGAAAGTAAGTATTTTCATTTCATATAGAAACGAATAGAATGTGCGAGGGAAATTTGTTTCAAGGGAAACCATTTTTAAACAGGAAAAGAGAGGAAAATTTAAAATTATTCGGTTATCGATTTAATCCTACAGAGCTATTATTTTCACCATCGTTTCTACGTGTAGACACTGCCAATTCTATAAAATGACACGTGCAATGGTGTATTTATGTACGACTACGTTAATTGCATATATTAACGTTCGAATCGCTGAAAATGTAACACCTGTTGCTGCATATAAAGTAACATGAGATACGAGAAGTACAAACGGGTAATATGATTTTCTTTTCTAAGTGAAGTAATTTTTTGACAGTATTCTGCAATCTTTTAGCAAAATAAATTAAATAAATTAGAAAAATCACTAATTCTTTAAAAATAAAAATTCGCTTTGTATCTCCTAACAGCCTTTTCTTTATGAATTAAATTTAAGTACCTTGTAGTCACTATTTGTATAGATATTAACAAATATTATACACAGATTTTATAGATATAATATTACAGAGAAAAACACCATAGAACTTAATGTTCGAATAAATTTCAGAAAATTTCATTTCTCCATGAAAAGCAATTTTCGTTTATCTTGCATATTATTACTTTTTGTATTAACTTAAGACATCTAATACTTATTTTCACGTTTCCTAATTTATATTTTCTACTCTAACTAAACCGTGCACCATTTTTGCTATAATCCGACGTTCTGATCTGCGTGTAAATTCTCTACAAAAGGATGAAGATTATCTCTTCGAAATGCTGTCAGAAACAGTCTCGCACCTTTAATGTTCCCACCTGCGACGTGCGTTTTATTTTTTCCTCTTTCAAGATCGTCTCTGAGTGGAGGCTTTCAATTTCTTGATAAACAGTCGAATGGATGTTTCGCAAACATCGTAGCTAACGCCGTCAAAAATCGGAAGTATTTCGTCATTCGACATCGAATGACAAACACAAAGAGACACCGTTACGTTCTTCACTGATATTGCGTCCTGAACATTGCAACTCTCACAGTGGGAGTTTCGCGAGGTTGTAAGGCCCATTTACGCGGATGCGACATTGTTGCTGGGATGCGACCTACTCTAAATTAATAGAGCTAGATCTGGTTAGAGGTCAACTAAAGAGTTCCGATGCGTCACAGTCTCTCGCGCTCAGTTGATCGTCGTGGGTCTGTCTTGACTGTCTGGTCGTGATGCTTGCCTTGTCTTCTTGGGATTTTTAGGAGAACTCTCCCGTGACTGCTGTCTCTGTGGTTTTATAAGTTTCGTATGTCTACTGATCGGTTGGTGTGAAACGTAAGTGGTGAGTGTGTGTCTTCCTATTGGTTGTGAATAATATTGGGGTGTGTGTTAGCTTCGACGTCTTTCGGTGGTGGTGGATGTTTAAACAATTTGGGTCCTTATGCCTATCGCCTTATGGGCGATTTATTGATCCTTGCTAAGGTTCACCCAAGTGGTGGCTAGGTGATAACGAGCGTATACGAATCAAGGGACGCTGGCAATAAGGACATAAACAGGCCTCCACTTAACTTGAGACGATCGGTCCTGGGGTCGCAATAGTTGGAATCACTGATTCTCCTAAGATTGAAAAATAAATCGCAACTTGAACCGGAATGACCTGGGAAAACTGTTCGTAATTATTCATCGACAAGTGAAAGGTAGAACCTGAATCAGTTGCACAGAAAAATTGGAGGAACGCAAAAATCTAAAGGTTCTACCTGTAACATTATTTTCATTTTCTCTGTCTGGTCTCGTTGGACAGAGTATAGCATCGGCTGACTCAGCATATTACCATACCATGGGGAATCTACTACCACTTCTTAAAACGAATGAAAATACATCCGCTTTTACACGTTCTCTTCTCTAAGTCTTGTCGAAATCTTCTTTAAGAGGAAGGTATCGGACGATGCGTTCACGTCCTTTTTCAAACGCAAACTAGTTGACAAGAGTTGTGAGATTTTATTGAATATAATACAAGAGTGACTGTGTTTGTGGTGTGGTTTTCGGTTTGTTTCTCTGGCTAAGGTTCACCCAAGTGGTGACTAGGCGATAACGAGTGTACACGAATCAAGGGACGCTGGCAATAAGGACATAAACAGTCCTCCACTTAACTTGGGACATTCGGTCCTGTGGTAGCAACAAATGAACCAGGTACTAAGTGCCTAAATAAATCGTTATTTGCTTTTTCAACCATTCAAACTTTCTGTTTTACGTTTCTAAAGCTTCCCTTTTATTATCCGTTTATAACAATCGATATTTAAACGACGCGATCGATGCTTCATCACTGAACTTTGCCATACCGAAATTGTATGAAAATTTTGTGAAAAGGGATTTTTGTTACCGTGTTCAATTTCAGCTCGTAATGCCCAGGTATTTTTCTGGAAATTACCAAAAGGATTAAACCCGTTACACGTTCGTTCAATTCTATCCACGATGAGCTTTTGTATCTAAATTTGCATCTCGCGCCTAGAAAAGAGTTTCTTTAGCTAACAGCACCACTTCGGTCTCTTATCTTCGCGTTTCGGTCTCATTTAAAGTTTCTAAGTTATGCTTTTATTACCTTCTACTTTTAGTCGGGTTGTTCTTGAGCAAAAAGAAGAAGAGAAATATATACAGAATTTAGATCCAAGTAGGTTTCTCAGAGCTTTTAATTTCGCGCGAGGTTATTCGAACAAGTTCCTTTGTACCGAAACGTTATAGATAGCATATCTTCATACGATATTAATCCAGTGCATAGCTAATAGATATCTCGTTAAAGGTAAGAAGGAAGGGGCTTGAAATATGCAACGGAGCTAGGTAACTTTTTTGCGGAGGGAAGAACAGTAATGAGACACAGAAGATGATAAGCAATGAATTTAGATGATAATAAATGGGACATTTAGCGTTTTTGCCGAATGAGAGAGTTTCTCCTCGACTCCTCTAACAAAAGTTTCACTTTAATTAGCGCAAGAATTTCATTTGCATCGATTACCCCGCCTCGCCTTGTTTTTACCTACGATACATTTCAGCCCTTTGGTACATGTAACAGCATTCCTCTATCACGGAAACTTACCTCGCCGATGTTGAAAACGTTATCCGCAATATATTATGCGGACGTAACAGAAATTTTCTCCATACTTCTGCCTTGTGTCAGGAAAATCAAACATCGCTCGATTGGAACACGATCGGTTGCTGAAATAAAGAACGAAATTTTATAATCCATAAAAATTTCAATATTGTCGCTCCCTGAAGAAAATAACGAAGAGATAGAAGAAGAAGATAACAATTCTTTTACTTTTCTATCTCGACTGAACTTTTTTCAGTCCTCCAATTTTTCTCGATGGAATTGATCATATTACGATTAAGTAAAATTGAGTAAAATTGAGTTTTATTTCACACTAAAAAATCGAAAGTACTTTCTTGCCAACCCAAAACTTCGATATTCCACGCATTGGTGGGTAATTGCAAATTTAATATTTTAATTAATATCTATCGTGAGAATGTAATCATTAAATGGCGACTGAGAGGCGCCTCTCGAGTGCAAAGGGTTAAAATTTGTTGGAAAGTGTAATGATAAGAAAGGCTAATTCTCAAGATTTAATTTAATTGTCGCATTCCTTTCTTTCACGCATTCTATTAATTTTTTCTATTGTTACAGGTGGATCGATGACTGTGACAAAATGGTAGATCGGCAAAGAGCACTTTTAATGGTGTTGATAATTCTCGTAATTTATCCGAACGACATTTTCGGTAAGTTTTTCGCAATGAAAGTTCTAATGAAATTTCTTCTTGCAACAATCCCTCGAAATTCGATTAGGGTTAAAGAAAAATAGGAGCAATTTGAAATAAACCGGTTAATTATCGAAAGTTACAACGTATCGAGATATTATCGTCGATGTCATTGGTAATTCAATACGAATCTTGGTGTCATGAATGGTCCCTTCACCTGGTATTACCAACAATGAAATATTGGGTACTAATGCGAATTGTAAATCAACAAATGTTTCGGGAATACGAGCTGAATTTCATCAGAAACTATTGACACGATAACAATATCTGCAAACTTAAATTCGAAGCGAAATATAAATTGCCTGTGCCGCGTGATCAATCTTGTTCGTAACGAAAGCAATTAAAGTAAACTCGAAATAATCGGAACAATTAATCGCACACGCCCCGGGTTCTTCCTATTTGTTTAAAATAAACAACGCGACACGCGGGAAAGTTTTCACCGGTGGGAATTCTAAAATCAACCGAGCACATCAAACGTCGCGAATTATGATGCATTGCCAACTATACGAGCAATTTTGAAAGTAAGCTGTTCACTTCGTGGCCACCTGTAAATACAATACCGGAACTAATCCGCTTTTGGGACGAACGCTGTCACCAACGATATATGCTGATATTGGCCTCACGACCCTCTATCCTCATCCGTTGAAATATTGCTTTTTACGGTTGCTAGCTATGGCTGTTCTTTTTTCCTCGGACAAATCGGATGAATCGCAAACTTTCCGAAAGTGTCAGCAACGAAAAAAGAACGGAACATAGGAATTTCTTGCAAATTTTGTTGCGCGAATAAAGTAGGCGTGTTTTTTACCTATTTTCTCTCGTGTTTTACCAATTTATTTCAAGGAAAAAAATGAGGGTTCGTCGTATTTTTGTGATCTTGCTCTTATGTAGTACAATAGGTGTACAATTCATAGAAGAAAAATTATTCGTAGTGTAGGGATTGACGGTGGTGGTAATTTATTAATAAATTGTAACTGTGTGCGAGTGACGATTAAACATACAAATTATCTCTTCACACGAATCTAGATCGATTCTCAACT